TATATATATATATATATATATATATATATCTATATATATATATATATATATATATATATATATATATATATATATATATATATATATATATATATATATATATATATATATATATATATATATATATATATATATATATATATATATATATATATATATATATATATATATATATATATATATATATATATATATATATATATATATATATATATATATATATATATATATATATATATATATATATATATATATATATATATATATATATATATATATATATATATATATATATATATATATATATATATATATATATATATATATATATATATATATATATATATATATATATATATATATATATATATATATATATATATATATATATATATATCTATATATATATATATATATATATATATATATATATATCTCTCTCTCTCTCTCTCTCTCTCTCTCTCTCTCTCTCTATATATATATATATATATATATATATATATATATATATATATATATATATATATATATATATATAGAATATGTGTGTGTGTATGTGTGTGCGTGTGTTAGGTTGAGTCTTATTCTAATCTAATTATATTCATATTTTTTTGCAGCCACAGCCATTGATGTTGAAACACTGATGCTACCAATCAACCCTCGCTTGATTATTGAAGGTAATGTTAATGCCTTCCTCATTTTTATTAGATTTTTAAATGTCAGGTTTTTCACAGATTTGTTGTGAGCGGTTTCTTGTACAAACTCTTTTTCTTCTTCCAGGAGTTCCACCAGTACCTCCAGTAGTAGTAAATATTAGACAAAGATTTTTTTAAACTATAGTTTTTATTTTTATTAGCAATTTTACTGGGCATGTGTGTTTGTTTGCTTGGTTTTTAATAGGCAGAGCATGGAATGTCAACTTTGTTTCTACAAAAAAATGTAATTATTCACAAACACCTTTAATTTAGTCCTTCTTTCCCCCTTTTAGTCTTATTCCTTGGACTCGGAGGGTCGAGTGGTCATGGGACCTCACCTGGATTTCACAACTGACTTTGGATCTGGTCTGAAACTGAAGTATGCTGAAGATGCCTTTTGCACTCTGGAATTTAAGGTAATGTCAACAATAAATATTGTAACTGAGGGCTTGTTTTGGGGGGGTTAAACAAGGAATGTATAGGAGCACAAGTCATGACTCCCCTTGTCCCCTTGTTATAAAGGGCCGTGTTGCAGGCACAATTTGTTTGTCTGTGCTGGAGACCAGAGGGGAAGCTGTCTTTAAAAGGACGAGGCTCTTTTACCATATGTGAAGTTGCCTATTCAGGTGAGTGGATTACATGCAAGTCATTGCAAATGCATAAATAGTGGGAAATTTTTACTGGGCAGCACAAATTAAGTGAAACTCAAAAAACGTTTAAAAATATTTGGAATATTTGCAAAAAACTTGATTGAAATGAATACAACACAAGTGCTGTATCACTTCAATCAAGTTTTTTTTGCAAAATTTTCCTAATATTCAAATCATGAAAAATTAGCTTGATGCAAGAAACATCCTGCTAGTATTCAAGAGCAAGTACTGTGATGCATGTGTTAACTTTGCAATAAGTGTGAACCCAGCATTAGATTATAGTCTGTAAACAGAAAGTGTAAATCAAATTAACTGTTTTAAAATGCTCTGCCTAGGTCATTAAAACCACCATTTGTTGTTGGACTGTTCTTGATTGTGTATTTGTGATGGAAATGTTTTTCAGATGTTTTTGTTTAAATGATTGCAGTTTGACTGAGCTACAGTATTGTCAGCATGTTCAAACTGAGCTAACAGTAATTTTGCTCTGTAGTGCAGCAGTAGTGTCCCAGTACTGTTGTATGAAGCTAACTGTTTGTCTGCCCTTTTGCTTATAGGTGCTTTTTGGGCACCAGTTTGGAGATGGGAGACAGACGAAGTCAAAGAAGCAGAGAAGACACATCAACCAGCAAGTGTGTAAAATTATCAGGAAAATGATTGACCTTGAATAGACGACTGCCTAATTTAGCAAGAAGTTTTGTCTCTCTCTCTCATGTGTATGTGTATATATATATATATATACACACATGAGAGAGAGAGCGCACTCTGAAGCACTGCTTTTTATATGTATGCTACATATGATGTCAGATTTTTTTTATTAATATGTTCTTATAGTATTTTTTGAGGCTTCACCTTCACCTTTTGACAGTTTTCTGAAATGTTTACACAGATGTCATTAAGCTGTTAAATAAATCTGTAAAATGTATGTGTGTTTGTTTTTATTTTGATTTTAGAGTCTTTTCAGATCACCCAAAAATGAAGATTCTGTCGTCATTTACGCATCCTCAGGTTGTTTGGACACAAAGAGGAATATTTGATATTTTTATTCCTGTGTTTAACAAAAAAATCATTTTTAACAGAGCTGGAACAACCTGAGGGTGAGTAAATCAAGATAGAATTTTCATTTTTGTGTGACCTAAAATTGCTTTGAAATTTTACAGCACCAAACTGTTAAATTACAGTAATCCGGGATATAACTGTAACTTTACAGTTAAATCAGGTATTTAAACCGTAACCTACTGCTAAATCACAGTAATCGTTTTGCAAATTTACAGTAAAATATAGTTAATTCCACAAGATAATACTGTGAAATTACAGTAACGGACTTTATTATCTACTGTAAAGTTACAATATATGGTTGTAATTTCACAATAATTTAATGTGACAAAACCACAGTAAATTACTGTGAACTACCTCACAATAATTTACTGTGAATTTACATACAGTAATTTACTGTGAAAGTAATGCAATTATTAGCCAGTAATTTACTGTGAATTTAAGGTCAAATTTTTTACAGTGTGGAAAAATAAGAATCGTAATTAATTGCATCCAAAATAAGTTTGTTTTGACAATTTAAGTGCACTGAAAATAATGATTTATTGTATTTACTTAAAGAGTCCCTATTATACATTAAAATGGGACATATTTTGGTTTGTCTTTCATTGTCTTTTAAAATGCATTTATTTATGCATTTATTTTATTTTATTTTATTTATTAATTTTATTTATTGAACATTTTGATTTTGAACTAAGCCTGAGATCCACCCAACAAAATATGTAAAACAAAAATAAAAACAGTAATATTGTTGAAAGTACAAAATCAGGATTGAAACATAAATGATACAGTCTCTCATATTTGACCAAAATTGTACAGTTTCTTTTTACTGGCACCATTTATTTTGGCTCAGGTATTCCAGACTAATAATGTCCAGTAGATAGAGCCTCCTGGATATATCAGTTGGAGCAGATGAATCCAGCCATAGTTTCAGGACTGTTTTTTCAGTCAGAACAACTGACAGAGTCCTTTTTTGGTTGATGGATAAGGAGAATGAGGAATCGTCCAGCATAAGAAAAGCAATGGGTCGAATTGGATCTGAGTTTCCTTTTGTTCTGATAGAAACGCTCGTACCTTGGTCCAGAATAATGCAATTTGGGGACATTCCTAGAACATAGGTATACAAGTAACTTGTGTAGAGTTGTTACATAGGTGACAAAAGGGGTCTGTTTTCTTTACATTTTAAATGACAGGTAAGGGGTGGCAAAAGCTTAGAAAATTAATTTATAAATCATTTGGTGGGCTGGATTTTTTACATTTAGAAAACTCCCAGAAGCCCTTAATTGATATATTTGAATATTAATATGTATTTATTTTTGCCTAATTATCCCAGAAACTTTCATATGATTCGTTCAATGATTCATTTGTTCCCAAACTCTTCAGCGCAATGCTAATCTGCCCTGATTGGACCGATGACCCAGTGTGTTGCCATTGGTCGACAGCGTTTAGCACAAGACACACCATGGCTTATCAACAGTATTGAAGTAGTCAAAGTGCATAGTGTATTTGTGAGCATAGCTGCCAACACTCCTGTTTTTTCCCGGGAGTCTCTCATATTTCAGACCCTTCTCCTGCATTTCAGACCCATCTCCCACCACCCTCCGATTTTGTTATTTATCCTGGAAAACTCATAGTTTCAATGTGGCATTAGACGTGATATGAGAATATAAAGAGTTAAGCATATACACTACAAGTGGTTACAAGTATAAAAACACAATTAAATACATAATTTGCAAGCTTAAGAAAACAAGGAGGCAACCATTTTAATAGTACTTACACTTGTGAAATGGAGGAAGAAACTGGTCTATGAACTGTGTACTGATAAAGTTCCTGTCAAGCCCTGACAAACTCCCACACAGGCACGTGCACACAACCTGTGCAGTGCACATGCCCTTTTTAGTCTTGGATAGAAAGTGCCCTTCCAAAATTATCAAAAGTGCCCCCGCGACGCGACACACCCTCCCTCTCGCCCTTCAGTAGGCGCGCGACAACACCGCTCTTGAGTATGCGCGCTCAACCCCCCCCCGGCTTTACAGTACGCGTGCGACAACACAGATAAAGACAACGCGTGCGACACTGCTCTTCAGTACACGCACGAGACACAACAACAAC